TCAGGATTTAATTGTTCTGGATGTAGGGGATTGCCAAGGTGCCGGACCCGGGCAATTAACTCAGGAGTTACTTTTCTTTAACTCTTGGATCAACTGCCTGCCGTGCCATGTTGATTGATCAGGATCTTGACGCCATGGCTTCTGCTGCTTCCCCTCCGTCAGGTGCGGTTGTCTGGCCTGCCACTGTGGCTTGTGACATGTTTTGTTTTGTCATGCATGCCTTCGTTTATCCTTATCCTTACGTATTGCACATGTCACATCTACTTTCCGCAGGTTGCCCAAGCGTCAGCTCTTTTTGAGCAGAATAGCTTAGCCCCTTAGGTGCCGCGCCGCGCCATAAGCTCTGAAGCCCCTGACTGGGGCAATGATCACCCAGACCAGGCACCAGCGCTGAGAACACCTGCACCTTCTGCACCGCACGCATCCGATGCCCCCGCGAAGGCACCTCCAGTCACAACTGTGCCCGCTGCAAGCAAAGCACTTACGCTTTCTGTGAAGGAGGAACCAGCAGCATGGCATCATCCACAGAACGGTTATACCCTACCCACGCGAACAGGGCAAGCACGATCGCACTTTGCACGAGACCCCACACCAAGTCCCGAGCCCGGACAGTCTCGCGCAAGACGCGCCGTACCAGCGCAAGCGTTAGACACAGGCATGCTTCTTCAGCACGGCCGCATACATGAGGCCGTTCGCATTCTGCTGGATGCAGCAAAGCCAGACCTCTTGCATGCATTAGCGCAATGCAAGCCGGCGGCGCTCTGCCACCTGCAGCGCAGTCGTGCGTCTGCATGCATGTTGCGAAGCTCCGGCGCCTGCGCTGCCTGGAGGCACTTTTCACAGAAGCATGCGCTGTTCCGTTTTATTTCACAAAGCACATCCGCGCAAGCATCGGTCACCATGTTCCTCACCATGATTGTTCGCGATTTTTGATCATTTTCATTATCTTCGCATTGTTTGTCGCTTGTCACATGGATTTTCATTACGCTTTCATGGTTTTCATGATTTCATTTTTTTGCCATTTTCTTAATTTATCATCCTTTTCATTTTCTTAATTTATCATCCTTTTCATTACTTATTTTCATGGTTTTTCATCATGTTTCCTCATGTTTCATCTTTTGCATTACTTTTTGTGATGTGCCATCTTTTTTATAATCATATTTCATCATTTTCAACATTTTCATCTTTTTCCATTACGAACCCCAAGCGAACTTGAGTTCGAATCCACCCAAAAATACGATCTACCTTGAGTTCTAGTTGGAGTTCACCTAAAAGTACCATTCGAACCCCTCCCGACCATCCCTTAGATTTCTTCGTTCTCTCGATCTCGAACTTGGACTCGAACTCGCCCCCCTCCCCAGACTTCCATCCTGTCGAACTCGAATTCGATCGCCCTCTCCCCCTCCCCAGACTTCCGTCCTGTCAAACTCGAACTCGATCCCCCCCTCAGACATCTTCGTTTTCTCGATCTCGAACTCAAACTCGAATTCGATCCCCTCCTCAGACCTCTGCGTTCTCTCGACCTCGAATTCTCAGGAACTCGAACTCGAAACGTGACCCCCCTCAGACCGTTGCGTTCTCTGGAACTCGAACCTTCAGGGGCCGCGGCCGTGACACTGGCGACGGGGAAGTTGAAGTCATCAACATGGGCCACGCGAGCTTGGGGTTTGGGGGTTCGGGGTTTAGGGTTTACGGGTTTAGGTTTTACGGGTTTTACGGGTTTACGGGTTTACGGGTTTACGGGTTTAGGGGTTTAGGGCTTAGGGGTTTAGGGTTTAGGGTTTAGGGGGCTTCAGGCATTATTGACACTGACACCCTGGTCGGGTCCTAAGTTTTGGCTGGGGCCGAATCAGTTTATTTATTGACACTGGGGTTAGCTGGGGTTAGGGGCCCGGGGATATCGCGATGCGGCTGCTGAACCAGCAAGTTCAGACATTCACATTGCCTGCGCAAACATGAAGATTGGTCTTTTGATTTTTGCAAAAAAGCGGGGTTTAGGGTTTAGGGTATAGGGTTTGGGGTTTAGGGTATAGGGTTTGGGGTTTAGTTTAGGGTATAGCCGTTAGGGGTCTAGGGTAGAGGGTTGAAGGGCTCAGGGTATAGGGTTTAGGGGTTTAGGGCTTGTTCGAACTCGTGCTCGAACTCGACCCCGCCCTCAGACCTCTGCGTACCTCTGCGTTCTCCCGAATTCGAACAGTTTCCTACCCAGGGTACGGTTTGCATAGTTCAATATCCTTCTGACTTTTCATCATGTTGATGTATATTTTACTATTTCTCATATTTTCTCAACATTTTTCGTGGTTGTGTGTCATTTTTCATCATTTTCATTGTTTTCATGATTTTTCATAATTTCTCATCATCCCACGATTTTTGATCATTTTCAATATTTTCATTATTTTCATGATTCTACGCTACTTTTCAGTAATATTCATGATGTTTCATCAGTTTTCATCAGTTTTCATAAACAAGCACCACAAGTGCTCAAGAGTTGAGTGTTTGTTTTGCGTCAAACGCTGAGGCCCGCTGGTAAAAATTGTAAGCCTCCTAGAAGGGCTCCCAGGCCTGAGCCTGAACGTTCTACGTCCTTCCGTGCATGGTTTTCTTGACACAATGTCTGATTTGGATATGGAGCTCACTGATTCTGAAGATTACTCCAGCGCCGATGCCAATGAGGATGGGGTCCCGGATTTACGTGAATATCATATGGACGTCTTCGAAGATGTGGAAACCCAATTTCCACGCGTCTTGCGAGATCTGGTCTTTGCGCAGTGCAGGAGCTACCATGAAAGACAAGGTCGTTCACGTAGATCAATTTCTGGTACTACGGGGAAGACTGTTGCGCGAGCTCTCACGTTCGGATTTGGAGACAATCAGAGCAAGGCTTGAGCACACATTGCCTCAAGCAATTTCAAGGCTGATCTCCAGCACGCTCAGTCTGTGTCAAAGATGTTGGAGCGTTCCGCTTCTGCAAAACGATACTGAATTTCTGCTCGGATTCGGAAGCCTTGAAGACCCCAGCTCTGTGAAGTGAGGTCTTGCAGTGTTTTCAGAGATTGTTCTATGAATCAGCAGTTGAGCGCAGGTTTTCTGATGAACAAGCGCGTGGCCACAGACATTGTTGGAAGCAACGTCAGGCATCTCCTTTACCTGCCAATCGTTGTTCTCTTGGCCAAGATGTTGCCTCAGGAAGCTAGACGCGA